CTTCGGGCAGCGCTGCCAGCCCGTACGTGCCTGCTGGCACCTGGAGGTGACGGGCAGTAAGTAGGCATTTAATTAGGCAAGGCTTAAGGCAAGCAGAAACACTGAAGTGCAAGACTCGGCCTGTGTTTCATACACACACAATCTCGCTCTGGAGTAAGAGACCAAGATCCCGGTGGTGCTGCCGATGAGCCCACCACACCTGGCAAACCAGAGGAGATGGCAGGAAGAAGTGGGGTTGTAACAGACTTCGTTGCCTGTGAGTGAAGCTGTTGCTAAACCAGCAAGGGCCCTGAACTTCCTAAATGAACTAAAACCCATCCACATCAGAGTGCTGCTGGGAACCTCCAGCAAAGTTCATTTACAAACAAGTGGGAGATGCTCCTGAGGCCAAGAGCCTGTACTCAGTTTGCTGGAGAGACGAGTCTGAGCTTTGGGTTCCGAGAAGCCCGTGACAGCGATGACAGCCCGGCCCCGCGAGCGGGTCCTGGGGCTGCACCCACTCCTGCCAGCACTTGTCATCCCCACCAAAGCCAGGTGCTGATCTGTAAGCCTCACTGCCAGAGTGCAACAGGAGGAGCTGTGTGTCCACACGTAGCACACGTGTGTGTGTGTGCAGAGTCTCTGGCCTGTCGCTAATGGAGTTTGACAGGGAGAGAGGAGTGAAGCGTGTAACTGGGCAACGAAGGAACCCAAGGCAGCTTTTCTTCTGAGCACAGCGTGGGAATGCAGCAGCACAGGCACGAGGTGATGGCCACCACCTCCTGACAGCCCCGGGCAGGGCAGCTGGACTTCGGACTCTTTGCTGAAGCCCAGGGCACATTGTCCAAGTCTGAGGTGATGCAAAAGGAGGATGGACTGGATTATCGGAGAGTTGAGAGGCTTCAGAAGAATAAAGTGACTGAGCACAGAAACAGTGCCTCGTGTTGGCCTGGATGCACTTGAGAGCTCTTCAATTTTAATAACTTACCAGTGAGTTACTGCTGAGGGGTCCACACCAGGTACCAACAAACTCTGAAGGGCCACTTTGCGTTTTTTGCACATCAACAAACAGCAAGAGAACAGTTATCCCCCATT